ATGTACATTGTTTTTCATTGTAATGTATTCGCGCGTATATTAATGGACATCGTCTAACCAGTGGAAACCTGTGCGGTTTAAAAAAAAAAAAAAAAAAAAAAACAAAAAAAAAAAATGTTCTTAAGCACAGATCATTTGAAAGACTCATTGGGTATGTACAAACATACATACATGTATACCATACGTATTTTTTTTTTTTTTTTACCTATACACACCCCGTATACGTGTGATCGACTGAAAGTCGTCGCGGACGCGCGAAAATTCCGTAAACCATGCCGGGAAAAATCGATGAGAAAATTTGCTAACGGGTTGCGTGCCTACATCGTGTTGAACGGATCGACGGTATTCGGTTCGGCGTCGAAACGCACTACGCGTAACGTCCGTCTAACCGTGTCGCGTAACATTTAAACGCGAACGCATCTCGCGGTGGACACCGTTTTCCCATGAAATCCGTTCGGACCGTCGCTATTACTTACGGGGCGTGGCGCGGCAATCGTAAGAAGGGAACAAAAACGTGCACGACCTTATGCGGTGATCATTCGCGTACGTACTGCGCGAGTGTATACACATGAACATATACGGAGGATGTCACACGTCGTCGTCGTCGTCGTCGTCATGTGCGGTGGCATTTGCGATCTTCGCGTCTTCCGCAGAGACGTGCCGCGTGAAATATTACCGTGCGCGCCTCCTATAAGCACGACGATAACTTTTGCGTCGGATAAACAATGCACGGCGTGCGAGCCGCGCACAACCGACGCCTACACGCTCTCTCGGCACGCGGAAGAACGAGAAAAGATTAAAAAATAATTGCTCCGTCGCGCTTGAAACGCGTACGCCGCGGGTACGTTACCCGTGTGCTGGTGCGCCGGCGGAAACGCGCGTGCGGCGTTTTCGCCGTCTCGTTCCGGTGTCGAAAGATGTCGGGATGCGATGACTTCTTGACTTTTAAAACGCATTCTGCTGACGGTTCCCGCGCGTGCGCGCGTGCACGTGAACGCGTAACGTTCGACTGTGCACCACGAGTCGCGGCGAAAAACGGCGGTGACGGGGAAACGAACAAAAAAAAAAAAAAAAAAATTACGAAAAACAAATCGACGATTGTTTCCCCGCCGTCGCCTTACCGCGGTCCAATCGTCCGTAACATAATCTTGTACACGATTACATTGTGCACTCCGTTCGGACGGTTCAATTTTAACGCGATGCTGTTTTCTTGTTCACCGAAAGATTCCAAAGTTCTCCGCCCTACTCGTTTGCTGTGAGAGGACGTCCCCAAGGCGTGCGAACAACGGATTTCACGCCGAACGTGTTGCGTTTACACGCGACTTTTCCGTTTGATGGCCCCTCTGGCACGAGAAAACACGTACCTAACTACGTACGTCGCGCTGCACACTCGCGGGACATTTACTGCTACATTATAAACGTGCTGATTCGATTGTCGCACGTTAACCGGCAACTCTCGAAAAAACCTTATAGACGGACGGAAACAACGAAAACGTAAGCGTACCGTTTCCGAACTTCGGCGTGTGCGCCGGTGAAAAGCTCACGAGCGCACACCGTACGTGTTCGATAAAAAAGTACATGCCTAATCTGTCCGCGCTGAGCGTGTACGGTTTCGCAGAGATCGTTCCCACGACTGTAGATTTTGTTATTTAGCTATACCTGCCTTACCAGATCACCGCAGTTCTACGCGACGATTTTTTTTTTGTTTTTTTTTTTTTTTTTTTTTTTTTTTTTTCTGGGGTTTTAAGTATATTTTCCGAAATAGTTGTGTCAACGCTGTACTCGTCTTCAACGCACGATTTCTATAACGTAGTTGATTATATTTCAATAGTGTAACCGTTATCAGGTGACCTCGTGGTTCTGCGATACCGTCGGTGACCGTTACCAGTGGCGTAGCCAAGGGGGGGGGGCTAAGGGGGCTATGGCCTCCCCCATGGGCCATGTTAATATGTATTTTAATCAAAGGCTTATTGATGTTATGCCACTTGAAGGACTTATTCCGGCCAATTTAAATATAACGATAAGAATATTATAAAAGCTGCTAAAATATTTGTCCAAGATCTCCATGATGATACCTCATCTACAATCAGAGCTGACCTGTTCATATGGAGGCAACAATGGAGTCAAAATACTATTCCAAAACCGAATTCTGCTCTTGATTCACTCTCTCATCGCACTAATCTTCGACCTAACATTAAAATACTTTTACAATTATTCGCCACGTTACCAGTTACCTCTTTCACTCCGGAAAGAAGAAAGTTTTCAGCACTTAATCGCTTAAAAATTTTTTTAAGAAGCACCATGTCGGAAAACAGACTGAATGGGTTAGCTATGGCTAATATAAATAAAAAAGAGTAATTCGATGAAAGTGAAATAATAACTGAATTTGCTAGAAATTCGCCTAAGAGAATGCAGCTGTCAGAGTGGAGCAAGTGACTGAACACTGAAACCAAA